CTTGTTGCTTTTTCCCTTCTTACAAGGGCTCTTAGGTATAAAGGATTGGGTTAATCATTCTCCTGGATTTGTAGTTAATTGTCTGTGTAAGGCATCTCTTGTTTATTTATTTATTCCCCTTTATCTCATTGTATGCAAACTACATTCACTGTAGGCAAACATCAAATATGTTTAATGTGTATGTTTTTGTTTGTGTATGTTCTTGAATAATGGGTAATGCTTCTAGTATACATGTATTTTTAAAAATTTGACAATCTGTTAGACCTAGAGTATCCAGAGTGTTAACAATTTTAACATATAACTAATATAAAAATTACTAATATGATATATATTATTTTTACTCTCTTAGCAAATCTTAGTTTGGATGCTAAATTTTCATCATAAATACTTGACCTATATTTAGATTTTGTAAAAATTAGTTGAAAAAGTTGATTCACTTACCTCAGTGGTTCTAAGCATACTTTAAAATTTTCCAATAATTGAATCAAGTACAAGAAAATGATTTCCCTTTTAAAACTCAAATGCAAATTGACAGAATAGCTTTATCTATTTTAGAAGAATTGATATGACTATCCATTTCAAAAGCCTATCCATTTCAAAACTATGTCCTGGCTGAGAACATTCACTAAGTCTTGTATTAACTCAGAATTATTAACATGAAATTCAAAAAGATAAATATATGAATGTCAAGAAGACATTTAAACTTTTCTTCTCATTTTGGCAGCCAGTATTCATACTACTGTGTATTACAATGAAAACATCCTGCATGTTTGTTCAAAAAATGTCTATTCATTTCCATTATCAAAGGTCTCAATTTTAACGTAAGTTCTTGTACCTGTCTAGCTACATCACGAATGAACACCTGAGTCCTGGCTCTGTGCTAAACACTGTTCAAGAACGTCACCCCTATTAACTCATTTAATTCTCACAATCATCCATCCTCATTTTACAGACAGGAAAACTGAGACTTAAAGAAGTTAACCAGGTTAGCCAAGGATCTGACTGAGTCAGGACTCCATTCCAGGCAGCCTGGCTCCTGAGTGTGCCCTCTTACCCTCTGCCTTGTGGCAGAGCCCGATTTACCCAGTGCCCTCTGTGGGGACAGATTAACAGAGTGTTGGCCAGGGCACTGCCCCATGATGTCCAGAAGAGAGGAGGAAGGTGCCAGCACTCACAGCCAGGCCTGCTGTCAGCAGCATTTGATCCAGGCAGGAGACTCTAACAGATCTCTTTCAGGGCAGGGCACAGGCCCTGCGTGGTGGGAGCAAAAGGGAGGAGGACTAGTGAGTGTGCAGAATCTCAGCCCACATGAAGGCCAGTGTCCGTTCTTTGTGCATTTGTCTCTGAATTTGACATGAATTTGTGTTATAAACTGGTTGGCATGAAATTCTGTCCCGTGTTTTCCATCTACTGAACCTGAAGTCTTTCCAGTGGGTGCCTTGGAATGGGTTGGACCTGGAGCAATTCTGGCTCAGGAACCACCAAGAAACTTCCCCAACACAGCTGTGAGGTTGCCAGTGTCTGCTGCTATACTTATCTCTTCACACTTCTGCCTCTTCTCTGCTGCTCTCTTCCTTTTCTGGGCTCTGACCAGTCAACACGTATCGGAGCTAAGACCCTGTCCCACATCCTGTGAAGGACACTGTAGCTGCATAGGATTTGCCGGTGGAAGGCAGTGGCCCTGAAACAGAGTGAGGGTCATAAGAAGGTGAAGCTCGGACTCCAGCTTACTGGGCTCTTGTGAGCTGTGGCATCACCAGTTTTAGTGGTACCAAGTCTGGTATCACGTATCTTGATTCCTGACACAGGCCTACCTGGGAATCCACAGGTGTTCTCTAGTGGCTTCTAGCGGGCCACGCACTTTGTTAGCTGGGGTTGCTTAAAGGGAATCAGAAACTAATTAGGGGGACATTCCCCACCCCTCACCCCACGCACACCTCCGGGTGCTGTAGCCCAAGGTTCCCGGCAGGGGTCTCCTCCTGTTTGCTGTCAGGCAGGCTGCCAGGCCCCAGAGACCTGTTAACTATGAGCCACAACAGGGGTACCCAGCTGCTGTCAGTCTCCCTTCCCCATTCCTTTCTCCTCTTCCCCATTCCCAGACCCATACCTTACAGTCTACTTTACCCACTGCCACCGCGCTGTGGCTCCCGCCCGTGGGCCCCTCTCCTGGAGTTCCTTCTCGGAAACCGAGCACACCGCAGGCTTTCCCAGCACATCTGTGGGAAAGCTAAATGAAACCAGCATCTGTGTGTCCTCCCCATGAGCCAGAAAGGGTTTGTGGTGCCTGACTTATGCTGCTTCACACAAGGCTCACACTTCGAGAAGGAAATGTTCACGGTGAAAGGGCCTGAGGTGCCAGGCCAAGATTAGAACACGCCGAAGCCATGACGCAGACCCACTCCAGGCTGCCCCTGAACCCACCCCTCCTCTGTGTTTTCAGAGGCCCTTGGAGCCCCACACAGCTTTTCCCATGCAGATTGGCCATTTTGCTCTTCCTTCGAATTGAAAAACAAAACAAACAAAAAAGATATGAAGAAAGAAGAAAGCAAAGGGAAGGACGGTCTCTCTGCTCTGCCTTTTGATGATCATGCATCTTTCCAGAACAACTTGCTTTTTAACTGGAAGGGGACATAGAGAGCATCTCACTCAGTGGTTATATTAAAACCTTTAAACAGTGGGACCAAGTCCTGGTAAATGACTGTGGGTCTCCCAGTGTACAAAACACATGGGAGGGGTGCGGGCTGAAGTGACAGGCTGGGGGAGTGCCAAGATCTGGCCAGGCCAGCCCTCACAGCCAGTCAGGGGGGCCTGGCTTCTGATTATCTCTCATTTTAGAGATAAGCAAGCTGAGGCCCGGAGATGCAAAGTGGCTGCAAAGTAAGCCCTGATGCCCGGGTCTGCAGCTCCGGCCTCAGCTCTCTGCAGAGGCCCGTTGGTGTATCTCCCCGCAAACCTATCTGGACAGCAAGGAAGGAGAGGCAATTGGTGGTGAGAAGGGGGGCGGTGATGGGCTTTCTCTTTCTTCCCCCTTTATCACCAACAACCTAAGCTCTCACTCCCCTGAGGAATGAGGTAGTCAGGGAGGGGACAGACAGGGACTATAGAAGGAGGTGGGCAGAAGCACATGGGAGCAGGTGACAGGAGTCAGAGGGAGGAGAAAAGGCCGGCAGAGGAGGGGAAGCAGTGAGGTGAAAAGATTGAAGGGGCTGCTGTCCCAGGCCAGGACCAGGACTGGCTGAGATGCTGGGTCTTATTTTAGAATCCCCCTTGGGAAAGTCCTGGACGCTTTTCCTGTCTCTGTTTCCTTTGAAGGTCTCCCTGCCCCCCATTAGGGAGAGCATGAATAGCCCTATAGGAGGGGCAGTGTGGTGTGGGAACACCCTGGGAGCCAGAACCAGCTGGATCAGCTCTGCCAGTAAATAAAGCCTCCCTGGGCCTTAATGACGCTCTCACAAAGGAAGATGGGAAGCTAGATGAGGACAGAGATCATCTCTCAGGGCCTTTCGGCTCCAAACGATCTGGGCTTTGGAGCCTGTGCTTAGGGAGCTGGGCTCAGGAGCTAGCGGGCATCACACAGTCTGGCCCTCTAGTTCACAGGTGAGGAAGGGCCTAGACAGACAGAGAGACTTTTCTGCTCCTCTTGGCTTCACTACTCCTCTCATCCCAGCTGGAGTCTTAGGATTCAGCTCAAAAACAGGGCCCTTCTCTGTGCAGCGGATACACTTCTGTTGTTTTTGTCACCATTTTATTAGCTTCTAGCTTTTTTTTTTTTTAAACAAAAACAGTACATGTTCGTTATAAAAATTTCCATTACCACAGGAAGTGAAAAAAGTAAAAAACCGTCCACTGCCGTCATCCTCCTGTCCTCAGCCCCACGGGCCTAGGGAAGCCTCCTGCAACAGTCAGTGTGTGTTCATCCTGGCCTTTCTGATAAGCACACCAACTTCTGTGCCCCCGTGTCTCCCCTCTCTAGGTGGGGTTATTATAACAATGATTCAGGCTTGCACTTCAGAATCAGACACACTTGTATGTACTCCCAGCTTGAAACTAGTTAGGTAAGCAATCTTGTGCCTGGACCATTTTTAGTCTCAATCGTCCCATGTATGAGATGGTGCTAAGAGTCATATTTACCTCACAGGATTGCGGTGAAGATTGATGAGATGCTGTATGAATAGAGCTATACACACACGCACACGCGCACACACACACACACACGGAGTCCAGGGGTATAGATACGTTAGAGGTATAGTAAAACCTAAACACAGGATTTCTGACCTTTAGTCTCGAGTTTCAGGCCCTGGGCTCTGCTGAGTTAAGAGCTCAACACTTGTTGAATGAATGACTGAGGATGGTGGGGGTGGTGGACCTAGGATTTGAGGCCTGTGGAGCTCCTGGGGTACGTGCTCTGGAAGATGGAGGGCTTTGCCCCATGCGTTGGGAGGGTGTGGCGGGACAGTGTGGGTTGGCTGGGCCAGCTGTTGCTTCAGGGCTCCAGGCTGGACTGCTGAGCCTCAGGCCAGAGCCCAGGGCCCAGAGTGGCTCTCAGCTTAAAGGATCTTTGCTTAAAAGGAATGTGCAGTGGGCTGCCCCTGCTCAGGAGGGGCTAAAAAAAGCCTTCCCCTCCCCTGGGCTTTGTGTGAGGGTTATCAACTGCTCAAGTCAGCTCATCTCTCTGGCTGGACACCGGCATTTTTGAGAGGGTCTGTGTTCCTGGCCCTTCTGGGTTTCCACCAATTGGCAGGAAGGAGTCAGCTTGTTCCAGAGGTGGAGGCTGTGAGGGGTGTGAGGTATGGGGGAGGGGGGCTGGTGGCCCCAAACCTGGTGACAATACACTGTTGTCAGCTGTACCCTGCTAGTGTTTCTTCCTTTTATAGTCAGCAGCAGTTGTTCCTGCTCTCACCCAGCCCCTCGATGGGGGCTCCTGACCAGGATAAAAAGGAGGAGGCATCTGAGTCTCCTGTCTCCACTCCTGGGTGCTGCATCTCCTGATTCCTTTCTAGGTCCTGCCTCCACCGAAGACCCCCCAAGACAACATGCCTCCCAAGAAGCCGGAACCTAAGAAGGACACCCCCAAGCCGGCCCCAGCCCCTGCCCCAGCTCCTGAGCCCCCCAAGGAAGCTGCCTTTGACCCGAAGAGTGTAAAGGTGAGCAAACTTCAGCCTTGGGGATGGGTGTAGGTTTGACATTCAGGATCTGGTTCGCCTGCAGCTCAGAAATCTGCTTCATGGAGGCTGCCGGGGTTGAGAGCCGTGGTGTCCAGACCCTGGATCACAATCCCAGGGCCGTGGAGCAGTTCCTGGGGCTGGTCAGGGCTATTTTGGGTTGTTATCCTTTCCCTCAAGAACAGGTTTTGGTTCTGTCTGTGGACGCCCTGATCTGTCCCCCTGTGTTTGCCCAGCAGAGTTGAGAGTGGCAACGAGGTGCAACTAGTCAACCATCCAACCCTTTTCGGCACTTTGGGGCCACCATAGTGAAGCGGTCGACTCCTTGCTTGGAGGTGGTGTGATATGTTTATGGAGAAAAGACACATGACGCTGACTGCCAGTGTCGCTCGGAGCAGGGATGTGACTAATGAGGGGGCATGTGCCTGTGTGCCGGGGAAAGGCCTTACACACAAAGGCCCTGTGTGTGTGCGTTGGCGGGGGAAGGGATCAGGAGGCCAAAGATAAGGTGAGAGAAGACAGGCTTTCTCTCCTGTTTACTTAGATGGGTCCCTGCCATGGGCTCCTATCTGGAGTGTGCAGAGGACTGACTCTCCTTGCCCCCCACCCCAGCCGAGACCAGTTCTGACCCAGTGAGGGAGCTGGGCCCGGCTCCCTGTGCGACTCAGTCCTCGTCCCTCATCCCTCTCTGTCCTCTCTGTCCTCTTCACACCAGGAAGTTCCTCTGCCTGGGGCTGGGTAGGCCCTGCCTGCTGACTCAGTCATTTCGGCCCTCCCAGCTCACTGGCCCAGTGGCTGAAGAGATGGAAAGGGGAGGCGGTGGGTTGAGAAGGGGGAGGTCAGATGCCACGGGAGAACGAAGCAATTTTAAGACTTGGCATCAGAATGTAGAGGTCAGTGGCTTCTGCTCTGAAGAGCTATGAATAATGACTTAGGAGCAGAGGGTATCAGCTGGGGGTGGTGTGGAATGAGGTGGGAAAAAGAACTCAGAAGCAGGTTCTGTGACAAACAGACAGGAAAACGAAGTCCAGGCCTCTCATTGGACGTCCCTCCCTGTCTCAAGATCCCTCCAGCACGGGCCCTGCAGACGGATTGTGCCAGAGACCTGGGGGACGATCTGTGGTAATTCCTACTGGGGGTGACCGAGATGTCTTGGCCAAGAAAGTTAATCAAGCCTCCCTGGGCTTGATTGTGGCTTACTCTAGGGAAACTGAGGCATACTTAAGCCCTCGAAAGTGGCTGAAGGCCTTCTAGGTCATCTACCACACCCTCTGAGGATCCCACCTTGCCTTGGTTTCTGATTTGTGTGGATAATACACCACTCCTGTGGGTGCACTAGTCCCGTGTCCCCAGGTCAGGGCAACAGCTGCTTAGCAGCATGGCAGGTGTCCCTTGGCCCATCACTTCCCTTCATCCTCTCATGCCCCTCAACTTCTCACCCCAATGGCAATCCTCTTTTCTACTTCTGGGGTGACTGAACTGGCTTTAAAGTTGAGAAAGAACGAGGTGGCTTTCATGAGAATCACCTCCCCATTATGGTGCTTACCCAGTTTCTCTCTTAGATTATTTTTATTAAAAAAAAATTATTTATGTATACAAGAACTGGGGTATAGGCCAGAGGTGTGAGGGGATGAGAAGACTCACCAGAGACAGAGTGGGGAGCAGAACAGGCGGATCTACTGAAATACACTGCTGAGGGGAGCAGTAGGCAAGACAGGAGAGGTCTGCTGCGCCATGTGGGTTGCTCCCTGGCTAGAGATTCATGCCACAAAGGCTGGCCATTGCGTTATATAGCACTATGACTTTAACCCCTGTGCCACCTGGGAGGCCCTCTTAGAAGATTCTTTACTCAAAGACAGAGCAAAAGCAACATAAACCAATGTCTGTGGTTATGGCTTCACCAATTTCTCTTCCATGGTTACTCCTGGGGCCTAACACATTGCAAAATAAGGAGAACTTTTCCTCAGAGAGTACATGTGAAGCGTCCTTCCCCATTTACCGGATTTCTTTAACTTCCTGATGCCCCAGCCCCCGACGTTTGGCACAGTCCATTCCTGGGCACAGCTAGTTCCCTTTTTGGCTGGCATAACCCCCTCCTGCTCTCCTTGCTCATTCCAGTCCCCTCAGGGGTCCTCCTGAATGGATGTCAGCCTAAGGGCACCGCACAAGCTTGAGAATTAGGACTGGGGACGGTGGTGTATGAAGAAGATGCTCCAAGGCTGGTTACCACCCCCAGATGAGAAGGGATTGGGGTGGTGGTAGACAAGGGTGGCAGATTAACACATATGACTCTTGGTTAAAGTGACGACGCCCGTTTTTGTTCCTTGTTCATTTTCAGAGCTTTCCTCTTCTGTGCTCAGCAATGAATTATTGGGGATGGGGGCAGAGAATCTCAAGTCCTTCAGATTTTTTGAGTGCCTACTATGTGCCAGGCATTTCAGTAAACAATAAACAAAAATCTCTGCCCCGAGGGAGCACTGGCTTCGAGGAACTGGGGTACACATAAAGGCACACCTAGAAAACAGTCAGGAAGGCTGGGGCACTCCTCTGTCTGAGAGTGAGAGCGCTTAAGAGGGACTAAGAGGGCCGGCAGCCTGAAGGAGGGGCTGGGATGGAGTGGGAGTGAGGGAAGTTGTCCCTGGAGGAGGTGGATTTAAAAGCATCAAATGGAAAAGGCAGTCCCAGGGAGGACTGGAGGGCACCCAACGGGAGAGGAAGGGTGGCTTGTGGAGGAGGGAAAGACTGAATGGGTGAAAGTCAGGGCAGCTTATGGCCGGTCTGCAGAGCATTTCTCTTTCTCCCTCACTTGGAGCGTCACTGACCAAATGTACTGAGGGAGCTTCGGAGCCACCTTATTTTATGTCCTGTCAGTCTTGGCCCACGACTGGGGTCTCCTGCCCTTCTTCCTCGGCCTGCCAGAGGTGGAAACCATTTCTGCTTCCCTGTGGAAGCCTCTAGCAGCCTTAGCCCTGATTCCTCTGTGTTTCCTCCCCACAGATAGACTTCACTGCTGACCAGATTGAAGGTGAGTAGTGCTGCACCCCCAACCACCCACTGTTGCACTTCCCTGGAGGAGGAAAGAGAAGCAGAGGTTGTTATCTCGGTCATCATCCCCGTAGCAAGCCTGTGTTTGATCTAGGTTATTAACTCCTCAGCCCTTTATGTAGCTCATTTAATTTTCACAAAACTGAGTCCCAAAGAGGTTGGATGACTCGCCCAGTGTCACACAGGTAATCTGTGGAAGAGCCAGGGTTCCAACTCAGCAATCTGATTCCAGACCTGAGCTCTCTACTGCTCTGCCAGACCACCTGGAACATGATAGGGGCACAGTAAACCCCCCCCCCAATCTACCATCCAGCTCATTTAGAACACCTCATTTCTGTTCCTGCCATTGGAAAGCCCCGCTCGTAGGTTACCAACTTCCTCTCCCCTCCTGCGGTCTGCCATGATGCCCACCCGCTGTGGTGGTAGGGCCAGTCCTGACGGGGGTCTCCTCGTCCACTGTGCTCTCCATCAACAGCCCCTCTCCATCTTTGGGGCTCACTGTCACTTTACAGCCAGGATTCAACTCACCAAATGACTCCAGGAAAGACAAACAGAGGGCTTGGAAGGGAACCTGAGAGGTCTCGAACTCTTGATTTTAAGCACATATGGTATTTTACAAATTAAACTTGCGCATGCCTATGGTAAAAAAACAAAACAAAACACATACTACTTAAAACTAAATAATGAAAAATAAAAATACTTTTCCTTTATTTTCCTCTCATGCTGCTCTCCCAAAGACAACTACTATTAACAGGGCTTTAGCAATCCTTTGAGAAAAATATATAATAATACATATTAATTATTATAGTTATATAATAAAATAAATAGGTACAAATATTCCAATAATTACTAACCAATATAAATAACCTATAAGTAACAAAGTTTATAAATATAAATAATAAAATATAAACACTAAAATTAATAGAATGGTATATATTATAAATGTAATAAATAATACAAATAACTATAATATTGTTTAATAATATATTTAAATATCTTTTTATATTTTCATTCACCTTTTTTTTAGCTTTTTGTTTTGTTTTCATTTATCTTTCATTCACTTAATAATTACACAGTACTTCATTCTTTTCAATAATTATATTTAATCAGTCTTCCTTGACAGGCATTCGGGTTGTTTCCTGAATATCAGCATACTTCCCCCTAGGAATTTTCCTAGCAGTGGGTCAGAGGATATGTGCATTTATAATGGCAAAAGCCATTGCCAAATTACCCTCCCAAAACGTGCCACTTTACCCACAAAAAAAGGCCCTAGAGCTAGCAGATACATTCTGAAGTTATCAAGCTGAATCTGACTTTGTTTTTGGAATATTCAGTGGGCACTTTTAGTCAATAGTTTGGCATGCTGTGAAGTTCTTCAAATTAATTTGAATACATTTCAGTATGATCTATGTATGTATCACACAGGATTGAAGCAACTAATGATAAGTTTTTTTTCCCTCCCCCAGATGGGAATCAGGGATAAAGACAGCAGGAGAGCTGTTTTTCCCATGAAGCTTTTCAGAACTGGGGCCTAACTCCTTCCAGTCCTTCATCCCTTTCACTTGGAAGACATTATTCCTGATGTCGCACTTGATTGTTTCTGCTTTAATTTTTCTCTGCTGTCTCTTCATTTGCTTTTCGGTGAGCTGGAGGTTGTTTTCTCACGTTATGGTGGAAAGCCATGCTTTTGAGTCAGGAGACTTTAGTGTTTGTCCTAAGTCTGCCATTATTGGCCATGAAACTGTGGGAAAGTCACTTCCTGACACTTTTTTTTATGTGCAAGGTGAGGATATTGGCTCTTTTCAGTCAAAACACATGATTCTTTTCCATATCCAGTTTCCATCTTCTTGAAGTTAGTTATCCAATCCCAAGGTAGCTTTATATTATATTCTCCAGGTGACAGGGCCTCAGTTTCTTTTATGCTTTAAAAAAAAACTTTAATATTCATTTATCAGTTCCCTACATATCTGTGTGACTCTGGGGGTACATTTTTACTCCTCCACATGCTTCATTCACTCTCCAGTGCTCCTGGCCAGTGCCCTACGTCCCTTCCTTCCCCTATTTCTTTTCCGAACCCCCATTCCCTCTGGTAACCAGTTTATTTTTCACAGAGTCTAAGAATTATTTTTGCTGTGCTTTGCCAATATGTGTTCTTTGGTTATTTATATTCCACAAAAAATTGACACCATCAGTACTTTTCGTGTTCTGACTTATTTCACTCAGCATAATTGCCTCAAGATCCACCCTTTTGTCCCCAGAGGCACTATTTCATTTTTTTTAAAAAGCTGAGTAGTATTCCGTTGGGTATATATTCCACAACTTCCTTATCCTGCCCCCTGTGGATGGGCACTTAGGCTGGGTCCCTGACTTGGCAATTGTGGGCCGTGCTGCTATGAACGCAGGAGGGCATAAGTCTTTCCATACTGGTGTTTGCATGTTCTTTGGGTAAATAGCCAGCAGTGGTACTGCTGGATCACATGCTCCTTCCATTTTTTTTTCCAAAGGTATCTCCATTTAACCTTTAAACTTTTAATTATTGACTTCCTTCTCTGGTTCCTCAGATTTCCAAATCCTTCTAGAAAGGGGTTACCACCGAAGTTGATTGTTTTAGCATGCAGCTGGCTACTTAGATAGGAGAAAAGGTCTCTTTCTGGCCCTGAACATCACCCTACATATTCATCGAGACCACACTGGCTTAGCTTTTTTCCTAGCATCACTCCTCAATGTCACTGTTTGGTTGTCATACATGGGCTATGCTCCCCTGCCAGCTAGGACATTAACAGGTACAACAGGTCTCTTCCAACACTTCCTCCTTCCTCCTCCCTGTTTCTTTGGTTTCCTTAATAGTTAGCCCAAAGTTACAGCTGCATGTCTTATAAATGAGGACAATAATACCTATAGCATAAAGTTTTGTAAAGATGAATGAGGCAATCCATGGGAAATTATCAGTTCAGCACCTGCCCTGTGGCAAATGCCCAAATTGTTCTTGTTACTTCCCGGTCACATTACACTCTCCTCCTAAGAATCATCATATTTTTCTAATATGAGGAGACTCTTCTTTTTATCAAATCTGACCTTCTGATTCAACTAGCAGAAGATCAAAAAGTCCGAGTTCAGTTTCAAATAACAAATGGAACAACCTCTGAACTTGTGCCAGAAGCCAGGCTAATTGCTTTCAAACTTAAAAATATATATATAAATCCTCCTAACAAGTTGTTATTTCCTTCTCACAGAGGAGGAAATCACGATTCAGACAGGTGAAAGGACTTGGCCAAGATCACACCGTTAAGTGGTAAAATCGGGATTAAACTGCTACAATAACACTAACTGCATTGTTACTGTGAGCAGGAAATTGTGTTGAGTTTCTACACACACGATTGTATTTAATTTGAATGCCATTTAAGGACCCTGAGTTAGGTGCCATTTAGAGAAGAAAAGTAGTTTATAGAGGTTAAATATTAACTTTCCCAAGGTTACACAGCTTGTAAGTGATGGAAATGGAATTTGAACCGAACAATTCAGCAATAGGAAAGACATGCGGTTTCTATCTTTTAAAATTAAACAAAACTTAATAAAGAGCTGCAGGTAAACATCTTGGGAAACCTACTTTGATATGTAGAATGATTTGTAAATAACCCATATGCAGCCTCTGAGGAAGTAAGTATTGCTGAAGGACTTGGAGAGGATTACAAACAGCTTTTCTCCTAAGCAGTTCACACATTCTTCTTAGGTTTATATTGTTAATCTGTTTAGTAAATCATTTCTTTGCTATCATAAGTAACTCCAATGCACTCCAAGCCCAAATTATAATCGGCTAAATCCAAATGAGTGATTGTAAAGGCCGGACTGGCCACAGTGCAGGTTTTCTGATCCCATGCAGACCGGGTCAAGGAGTAGTCAGAGTCCTCAGTGGTTTTTTGCAGGTCTTTTATTGGGGTTCACCAGGCATATGGCAGGCAGGGGTGCTGGCTGGGGGGCTGGGAGGCTGGCAGGCCTCCCAGCCCCCAGCAAGTCTTCACTCTATCTGGGCTCTCTGGAGTTGGTTCTGCTGCTTCTCTTTCGGCTTAGGCTTCTACTGCTGCTGCTGCTACTGCTGCTGCTGCTGGCGTCCCCGTGACGCCGCCCTTAAAAGCACAGTCTTAGTTCAGCTGAATCCCATCTACCTATGCCCACACCCTATTCCAGGTGCCCGCCATCAGGCATGCATTCAGGACAAGGATCCATCATCTATCCTGATGGCGGAAGGGCAGAAAAGCCTGACATTTTCTTTACCCTACAGTGATGAATGAAGTTCTTCGCAGAGGACTCAGGAGGGTCTTAGTTTGGCCTTGCTCCTTGGAAACCTGCCCTGGTCCCTGCATCTCTGAGCGAGCCCCAGAACTAGGACAGTATAATCACCCCCATTTGTTCATTCCCTGACTATGAGTTAGACACTGCCCTCCATTTGCTTTGTAGTCAATCCCCACCACCCCCAGCGACCCCCTCAGGTGATCTCAGCTTAGAGCTAAGAAAAAAGGACCCTCAGAGGTTGGGAGTCCAGTGGAGCTGGTGGCTGTTTCTACCTTGTCCCCTTGTCCGGCCTGGGAGCCCTTTCAGCTGGAGGGGCCGATCATGGTCTGAGCTGACTTCCCCCGGGCCTTACCCCTTTGCAAAGGGCCAAAGTGTGGGAGGGCTGGCAGCCCTAAGCACTCCCCACCCCCATGCCCCACCCCAGCTCAAGGAGGAGCCCCGAGGGCCTCTCCTGCAGCCAGATGAGGGCCCCGGAATCCTGACACCCCCCACCCCCCCTCCCACCCCCACCCCGCCCCAGTCCTGTCTTCACTACCCTGCCACTTGGCAGGGGACATGTTCAAGTGACCACAAGACAACAGGAGGATGACAGGGTGGGGATGGGCTCCAGGGAGGTGCCTTACTGAAATACTTGATGAGCCACACCGATCTGCCCCAGCCACCACCTTCCCATGGGCCAGGGCCTGCAGCAGGGTTTCTCTTTCCAGAGTTCAAGGAGGCCTTCTCGTTGTTTGACCGGACCCCGACTGGGGAGATGAAGATCACCTATGGGCAGTGCGGGGATGTGCTGCGCGCCCTGGGCCAGAACCCCACCAACGCTGAGGTGCTGCGCGTCCTGGGCAAACCCAAGCCTGAAGGTCAGCTCCCCCGTGCGGTCCACCTCCTCGTGTCGGGGTCTGTCCCTCCCGGGATCACCTTCTCCCCCTTTAGACCTCCCTGCCCCACCTTACCCTGCCCCACCTTACCCGCCTCTCATGGCCAGGATTTATCCGGATGCTCTTGGCACCTCCTTAACCCTTGAAAGGTGGGACCTGGGCTTGTTCTTGTTTTCCCTGCCTGAGCCCGAGCTCCCGCAAAGCCGGCAAGACATCGTGTTGTTTCAGTGTCTTCCTCTGAGACCCCATGGTGCTAGGGTCATGGGGCAGGGGCAGAAGGCATGGGAATCTGATGACCAACCATCCTCAGTGCCCCACCCCCCTTCTTAGTGGAGGTGTCACAGAGCAGAGCTGTCCTTGCTGGGTGAGAACTAGGTGCTCATATGGCCAGGGCCCTGAAGATGGCAAACCCTGCCCCTAATGTGAGCTAGTACAAGCTCCAGGCAGCTGCTGGAAGGTGTGTCTCACACTCATTTGCCTTCTGATAGATTTTTGGCAAGTGAGGATTTAGGTGCAAGGAGTGTGTCCCTTAGGGAATGACCACCGTGGCAGGGAAGTTACAAGCTGCCCTAAAACAGCCAAGGCCTTCTTAGAGGTGCAACAACTGGGCGGGCCAGGCAGGCCTGGGCAGGAGCTCACTGGCAAGGCTGGGCCTCTCTAGAGGCTTCCTGGTCCCCACCTAGGATGAAGGCTGGAAGAGGCCAGAGGATCGGGGGGCTGCCCACGTCAGCAGGGCTTCCTGGAGAACAAAGATACCTGGGCACTAGTTAAAGTGAACATTTAGGCTACTAAAAAAGGTTCACATCTATCAAATTAAAGCTTTTAACAAACCACAATGTGGGAGAAGTGAGCTGTGAATTTATACACTTGATTGATTCAGAATAGCTCCAGGCAGCGTGGTCTAGTAATGGGGCCTAAATGCACAGTGATGTGAAATTTTGTCTTAAATCCTATCAGTTGGCCTCTATGACTGCATGTCTGTCACATAGCAAAAGTCCCTCAAGTCCTGCAGCCCCTCAACTTCTACTGCTGACACCATCAGCTCCCCCAAGTCGGGGGCCACCTGAGCTCAGAGGCCTGGGTGGAGTCATGGTCCTTCTTTCCTTCTGCCCTGGTACTTTCCCGGAGAAAACTGCATCCCAGTGCCAGTCCTGTGGTGCTCTCGTGGGCCCTTGTCCTCCAGGACACCTGCCTGGATGCCCCGGCCAGCGTGGCTGCAGCTGAGCCTGGTGCCACTGGGAGGTTCCTAGCCTGGTGGAGCTGGGAGAGGCCCTGCTGTGCCTCCGCTCCCGTGGGCTTCTGCTGACGTTGACTCTCTCTCCTGGCTGTGCCCGTGCAGAGATGAGCACCAAGACCCTGGACTTCGAGACCTTCCTGCCCATTCTGCAGCACATATCCCGCAACAAGGAGCAGGGCACCTACGAGGACTTCGTGGAGGGGCTGCGCGTTTTTGACAAGGAGAGTAACGGCACGGTCATGGGCGCTGAGCTTCGCCACGTCCTGGCCACCTTGGGTATGCAGCCAGGGAGAGGTGGAGTCCATGTGGAAGGGAGGAGGGCTTGGAGGCACTGAGGTGGCCTGTGTTGGAGGGACATTGGGGTCCATCCCTCCTGAACCTCACATCCCAATTCAGCGTCTGTCTATCTTGGCTCTCTAGGGACCTTCCCAGCTAGGTTTTCTAGCAGGGTTTGACAGCAGGGGTGACAGCTGAGGCCTCTGCAGTGGTACCCATGGTTTCCATCCCTGTCTTTACGGCAGTCTCTGAAACCCTGGTCTGCTCACCCAGTGGTGGCCACAGGCAAAAGGAGAGGTCTGGGGCCTATGAAGGGTCTTAAGACCCTTGGCTCTACCCTCTAAAGCCTTTGGGGGAGGCGTAGTATGACCATATCCCAGGACGGGGAGACTTGGGCCTTCAGACTTGCAGGGGTGTTTGGGTTCTGCCTGTCTCTTTGCTGCCATCTGTCATTAAGAGCCTTGCCCCACCCCAGGAGAGAAGATGACTGAAGCTGAAGTGGAGCAGCTGCTAGCTGGGCAAGAGGATGCCAATGGCTGCATCAACTATGAAGGTGTCTGGCTGTGCCTTCTTTCCTTCCATGGGCACCCAGGGGTGGGAGTGTGGCGAGCTTGGGCTGGGTGGGGGTCTGCAGAATGAGCAGACCTAGGAGCTAGAGGGTCTGTGCTCCAGACATGCATTGGTGGCTCTAGATCAATGTTCTTCTCCCTCCTGGGGGTGAACATCCTGGTGGAATGGAAGGTCTGGATTTTGGAGATCACTCTGGGATGCACCAGCTGTGTGGCCTTGATCTAGCCACTTACCTTCTCTGAGCCTCAGCTTTCTCTTTGAGCAAAGGCACCTTTCTTAAGGCAGCAGGATTGGCAGAGGTGGCGCTGCTCATTTCATCTACTTCCAGAAGCAGCACAGAGAGTTCGGCACAAAGCAGAAGTTAGGTCTCCTCTGCCCTTCCACCTTCTCCCCACCAACCCCAAGTACGAGAAAGAACTGCAGACTGAGGAAGGGGTGGTGAGGAAGCCTGAAGTCAGTAGTGGAGAAAGGGAGGAGGTTTAAGGGGCTGAGAGGGCAAGAAGGAGCCGAGGGGTGTGTGCGGGACTGACGGTGGCCTTCTTTCCAGCCTTCGTCAAGCACATCATGTCTGGGTGAAGCAGGCCTGCCAGGGTGAGTGCAGGCTCCCTCTCCCGGCCCCTCTGGGGCTTCGGGACCAGCCACCTGCCCTATAGCTCTGCTCTCCCAGCCCTGATCCTTTCAGAGGGGATGGCTGGAGATCACACTGGGGGAGCAGCTCCCGGTCCTGCCTGGTTCCCTCCCCCCCCCCACCCCCGTGCCTTCTGCCCTCCTTGGGCTTTGCACCCCACCTTGCCCCTTACCAGGCACATCCTCCGCCTCTCCCAGGTCTTTTGGGCGAGACCAATCCCGCAGGTCTGGGGCCGCCTGTATAGGCTCTGCTGTGGAAAATGGCTCCCACGGAGAGTGGCCCTGCCTGTGCCTCCTTCCTTTTACCCTCTACATGCCCCGTCCCTCCCCAACATCTTAGCACCATCCTGATGGGGGTATGGAGGATGATGTTCTTCTTCTACCTAGCCCTTTCTTTCAGGTGCCTGGCCCTTGGCCTTAGCCCTCCCGGGGTGAGTGGCGAGAGGCCTGGAGGGACTGAGCTGGAACCGGAGTCCCAGCTTGTCGCTGTCCGCAGCCCCAGGACCTCGTGGGCCTATGGCTTTCCCTGGAAATAAACGGCTGTGGCTCACCTGGGCCAGGCCTCTGCTCCAACCAGCCCCTGAGTTGTTGTTTTTATTTTTATTTTTTAATTTTTCTGTGTTTTTGTTGCTGTTGTTTTAAAATGAAATCACTGAGGGGTGTGTGTGCATGTGTGCGCGCGCGTGCCCCCTGAGGCCTTATGTTTTGTTCCTAGAGAAATGAGTAGCTACCCAGGAACTGGGAGATGAGGACAAAAGCCCCCAGACCCAGAAATACGGGGTCACATGAGCAGAGAGCTTGGGCAGGTCCACAGTTTATGGATGAATTTTGTCTCCTTCAGTCTACCCCTTACCTCACCTCCAGGAGGGAAAGAGGGGGAGGGGCACCAAGGGGTCTGGGGAGGGGGGCAGGGACTCCTCAAATGGTCCTTGCCTTTTCTTCTCTTTGAGAATTGTGTTAAAACACACAACACAAAATTTTCCATCTTAAACATTTCTAAGTGCATGCTTTTATCGAGTTAACTATATTCACATTGTGTGACCGCTGTTCTCCAGAACTCATTCATCTTGCAAAGCAGAACCTCTATGTGCATTAGACAACAGCTCCGCGTCCCCTCATGGGTGCACTATGGTGATAACATATGAGGGCGACCCTCTACGAAAATGCAAACAACGTTGTAAGCCAACATTACTTCAATTAAATTAAAACAATCATCTTTCCCAACTTGAAATGCTGATGTCCCTCCCCCATGATGGAGCCTTTTCAGATTTTCCTCCCTTCCTGTCTTCCTTCATCCTTCCTAAAGTAATTTATTGTGTGTGGTATAGTTCTAGGAATTGGGGTTAAGACTCCCAATGATTAAGAAACCAAAAGCGTGTTGTCCCGGCCAGAGAGTAAGGACATGGCAACCAGGGACTAACCACAGCAAGAACCATCCAGAAACAGCCTCACAATAGCAGGACAGTTTCAGCGCAAGGTCAGAGGACCTGCAAGAAGAGGCACCGGAGGGAAGAGAGGATGACAGGGGAGATTCTTCCCTGGGAGATGAACTTCAAGTGAGACCGTAAAGGAGAAAGATGCCCCAAGGCTGGTGTTCAGGCCCCGGGAGAAGGGCACGAGGGTGTGTGTGTGTGTGTGTGTGGGGGTGACTGCTCACTCATTCAGCAGATACCAGACACCGAGGGCCTACCGTGGGCGCGGCCCTGACCTGGCCTTAGGGATCTGCTCAGCCAAACAGACATGGTTCTGCCCTCGTGGAGCTTGCAATCTAGTGAGAAGACACATCAAGTAGTTGTATTTATAAGACAGATAACAGCCAACATTTTTGGAACACACTTAAAGTTATAATTATTTGGCTGTGCATTACAGAGACGGAAAGAGAGTGGCTTCAAAGAGATGAAGCACATTTCTCCCTTCCTTTGAAGTTCAGAGGTTGGCAGTTCAGGGCTGGCGAGGGTAGAGGGGGTGCGGCTGTTCTCCACAAAGTCTGAGGACCCGGGCTCCTTTACCTGTGACATTGCAGCTGGAGATGTCCTCTCCTGCTTCTACTGATGGAAAGGTTCAGGGAGAATTTCCTATTAGGTGAACCTGCTCAGGTGCCAGCGTAACTTACTGAGTCCCTCTGTGGTGTCAGACTGGTTTGTTTGAAGGTAGAAGAAATTCCCAGTCTTAGCCCACCTGGGAAGAGGTATGGGCAAAAGGACATTATTTCCAAGATTTCCTTTGACTGGGTTGACTTGTAATATTTTTTTTTTAAAGATTTATTTATTTATTTATGCATACAAGAGCTGTGGTACAGGCCAGAGTTGTGGGGGTGGTGGTGGTGGTGGTGAGAAGATTCACCAGAGACAGTGGGGAACAGAACAGGCAGGCTGACCGAAGTACACTGCTGAGGGGAGCAGCGGGCAAGTCAGGAGAGGTCTGCTGCACCATGTGGGTTGCTCCCTGGTGGGCTAGGGAATCAAACTCATGCTGCAGAGGCTGCAGACAGCCTCATAGGTTGCATCTTAACCCACTGCGCCACCAGGTAGGCCCTGACCTGTAATATTTTAAACCCGGACTCAAACCATGTCTAACAAAATACCGTGGACTGGGTGGTTTAAACAACAGATATTTATTGCTCACAGTTCTGGAGGCTGGAAATGTGAGATCACATTTCTCTCTTTCTTGCTCTTTCTCTTTACTATATATACACACACATATACCTATAACACATGTATACATCTATAGGCACAGTTTACACACATGTACACACACCAAACATGTATACATACAGATTCACACATGTCCACACCAAGATGAGGATCAAGGAGGAGATTTAGGGGAGGCTCCTGCTTACCTGGCCACTCTCTGCTTTGAACACTGAGGAAGCCCAAAGCTTCTATTCACCCCTTGGAGAGAAAATGGGCAAGGAAGTCATTATGGCTAAGATGATCGTAAAGTGGGGTTCCCAGATGTCAAAGGTAAATTTTGGAGAGATGATAATAGAGAGAGCGTGACCAACTTTGTGAACACCTACTATGTGCCAGGCATGGTGCCAAGCACTTCACACCTCACTCTCATAGCAGCCTGTGAAGTAGGGATTGCAATCCCCATTTAAGGATCTAAAAATATCCTATAGGAAAAATAGCAACCACAAACTTGACTCTTAGTTCTTTTAGTTTCTCCCCCTCCAGTTTAAGGCTGTAGCATGACATAATATGAGTATTTTTTTTTTTTTAAGATTTTATTTATTTGTACAAGAACTGGGGTACAGGTCAGAGGCACGGGAGGGTGAGAGAATTCACCAGAGACAGAGCAGGGAGCAGAAAAGGCAGACGGACCTAAGACACTGCTGAGGGGAGCAGCAGGCGAGGCAGGAGAGGTCTGCCACACCATGTGGGTTTCTCCCTGGCCAGCCGGGAATTGAACCCGCACTGCAGAGGCTGCGGACAGCTTCACAGCACGGTGCTCAACCTGCTGTGCCACCGGGGAGGCCCGATAAATTTCTGCTATGAGTAAGACCATCTGGCATTTTTCATTTTATTTCTGGCTTATTTCGCTGAACATGATCCCTTCCAGCTCATCCATGTTGCTGCAAATTGCATGAGTTTATCTTTTTTGATTGCTGAGTATTATTCCATTGTGTATATGTACCACATCTTCTTGATCCAGGAAAAAGACTAATTATAATAAAGCAAAAATAAAAATCAGGGGCCTCCCTGGTGGTGCAAGGGGTTAAACACTGCTCTACGAAGCAGTCCACAGCCTCTGCAGCACGAGTTTGATCCCCGGCCAGCCACGGAGCAACCCACATGACTCAGCAGACCTCTCCTGTCTCACCCGCTGCTCCCCTCAGCAGAGTATTTCGGTCAATCTGCCTGTTCTGTTCCCCACTCTGTCTCTGGTGAATCCTCTCACCCCCGCATCTCTGGCATGTACCCAGCTCTTGTATGCATAAATAAACAGATCTTTGAAAAAAATCAAAATCAATAAGCAACTATAAACCAGAGACACACTACGGGGCAGGCGGGATGAGTGAGTAGGCGGGATGAGTAAGTGGGGGGGGGGGCGTGGGAATCGTACGGGGACTATTACCAAGATGAAAATGCATACATTGTGCAAAAATGAAAAATGATGTAAAAATATATAAAATAAAAAAATAATAATAAATGGAAAAAAAAGAGTATTTCTAACGTCCATTTTCACGAAAGTCCTCAGGAACGACTTCCAAATTCACACTAAGGCTTATAAGATTTCTGTCTAGTTTCTAAGGCCTTCCTTTCTTTGCTCCTACTCTAGAAACACCTCTTGCTGCCGCTGGCTGACCCCCATCCTCTCTGTCAGTATCCCTCCTTCTCACCCATGACCTCTTGATCCATCTCTTTTCCTCCCTCTTGCTGCCCATTCAACTGATTTCCACAGCCCGGGTTGGGCTCACTGAGGTTTTCCACACTGCCAGAGGTCTGCTGAGCAGCAGATGGCCGCAATTTAGTCTCCTTAACACAACTGCCAAATGGCAGCTGAAGATGTCAGAGCTGGAGGAGTCCTTGGAGACTTAGAGCAGAGTCACTCACCTCTGCAGCATTTAGCATCATGCTTTGGCTATGGTTGCTCTGTCTTTTAAGGGAGAATGTGTTGGAGATTGCCCATGCAATAGCAACCTATTACCACTAGATGGCACAATTGCAGCAGCTCTCTTCCAAAGGGACACCCAAATGTGGTGTCACATAGCCAGTCTCCAGGGACTTGAGGTGTCAGTTTATTTCAATGCCTTCAGGTAGATGAAGGTCTTGTTCACTTTCAAAGACTCACAAGGTTAGTTAGCTTGCTTCAGTACCTCCACAAAGGTTTTGCAATGAGAGGTCAAAGAGAAGGCACTATTTTGGACGTGAAGACCTGGCATCTAGTCCAGTTCTGCTCCTAAGCCACATGCTCAGCTTCAGTTCCAAACTAAAGGGGTTGATTTGCTGTCCCTTCCATCTCTCTGATATGGACCATTTAGAACTCAACTAACTACCTCTTGCTATATTCAGCTTTAGCCCACTTATTTTGTTTTCACCCTTATTGTGTATATGTGTTTAGAACGTTGAGAGTAAAAATCATCTATTCAAAATAATTATGGAATGCACAAGAGTAGGTTGTCTAGGAAATAAACAAAGTCACTCATGGTCTTTCACCCCATGAGTCTATACTCTACTAGAGGAAAAATGATCAGCACGTGACAATTTAAGCTATGTCATAAGATAAAACAAAGAAATGACACCAGGCAGTATATGTCTAAGGATTGAGAGAGAGGAGTGAGGACAGAGCACTGGGAGCTCGGAGGAGGAGGAATGATTAAAGAGGGCTTCATGGAAGAGGTGTGGCAATCCTGATGGGTTATAAATTGACGAGAACCTGGGGAGAGACATTCTAGACAGGAAGCACAGATACCTTGTTCTTTGTCAACTGTCCCCACAGCCCCTGCCCTTTAGGATTGGCTAGAAGAAATAAAAAAGGGCAAAAGAAGAGTGATAAAAAGAACCAGAGAAGGGAACAAGAGATGAGGAGAAGGGCAGAAGGACAGAAAGTGGAGAGGTGAGTAGG